CTAACGATTGAAGATGATGAATTACTCATATATTAATATTCATATGATGTATTTATTTTGATTCATCTCAAGATATAGGTTTCAGCATGAATATATGTTTTTGTAAAAAATTATATAGTGTTAAAAATGCAGGAGGAAAATATTAGTGGGAAAAATTCATATAAAATTTTCAGAATTTATATTTCTGGAGATAAGTAAGCACTCACTGGGTATTCATGAATTTTAATGTGTTCACTGCCTGTCAGACTGTCGTGAGGGTTAGACAGGTGTAATGCTACTGAAACAGACAACTTCATCTTTAATGCCATAGTATCTGTAAAAATTAGCTTCTTGGAAACAAAGTTGAGTCTAGAAATAAAATTCCTTTAGGCCAATATATGTAAGACAGCCCAGTCTAACAAATCTTCAGATTAAAAGTATACCGTATATAAATGAAACATAAAAAAAAACCACATTTGACCAGAAACACACTTATAACATTTCTGAACAGCAAAGATAAAGAGAAAAATCTTAAACTTTCAGAGAGAGAAAGAGGGTGTATAATGAAACCCTACATGTTACATATGAAAGAATGACAATCGAGTGACAGTGGACAAAACTGGAAGTAGGAAGAGGGGTACTTTCAAAGTTTTGAGGGAAAATTACTTTAAACCAAGAGTTTTACACTTTTGGCAATTATCAATTAATTTTAGTTGTAAAATATATTTTCAGATCTGTAAATATTTAGTGAGTTTGCCACACACCCTATCATCACGTTTCTAGAGAGGTGATATGGGTAATTGGCAGCTAAATATATTCCAGGGGGAAAAATAAGGTAAGAAATCCGGTGAGACATTAATACAAACACATTTGACATCGATATTTCAAAAAATTCTTCTTTAGTCAAAGGTGCTAATGACATTAAATTTCATCTCTTTTCTTGTGAGTTTATGGTCTTTGATTCCAGAAAACCATGTTTATGGGATCATAATATTGTAGATGCTATTTTTAAGGAGAGGTAGGACTTACACTTGTGCACTTTGGAAGTCTGTGACTATCCAGCTCCTTCTGTGTCAGGTAAGTTTATGTAACGTGGAGGTTCAGTTTTAGGAACCCCCCTTTTTCACATACTTAAGTCATGTTCTAATAGCTCTTTCAGTAATAAGCTGACATTTTGATCTCTAATTGTCTGACTCCTTTGTCTACCATCAAATAGATTCTAAACTTCGCCACAGAGCAGAGCTTCTATTTACTGAGTCCTAAAATACCCATATCTATATTCGAAGAGAAATTCAGGGATCTAGGGGATCAAAGAACATTCAGAATTGAAGGTTTTGGGTGGGCCAGACCATGTAAGATTTTGGCCTTGCAGTAGCTTCTATGTGCCATGCAGTTATTTTTCTAGTTGTGGTTGAACAGCCTGAATGAGTAGCTTCAGGTTTTAACCTAAAACATTGACTGAAGAGCTAAGAAAGGGAAATAAGTTTTTGAAGATCAGATGATAGGTATAAAAGGGAAGAGGTGACATTCTTAGGTCCAGTTATTCGTAATGTGAGCCTCAGAAATAGGGGAGATATTTAGTTTGTGTTAAATCAGAAAAGGTGCTTGTAGACCAATTAAATCAAACAGAAGCTGATGGACAAGGTCTCCAAGAGCAGTGACACTCCAGAGGGAGCCCACATCGAGAAAATTAGGGGAAATCACATTTTTAATATGTTGATCCATAATAAGAATGACAAGTGACTCAATCCTTAAAGATTAGGAGAGCTATACCTTGAGGCTACAGAAAAAATGGTCACATTTTAAGGGAGAAGACCAGAGAAATTAATGTAAAATACTCAAAGATGTACTGTCAGTTTGACACAGTTATTGTAGGTATTAACAGCACTCTATATAAACCTGCTGGGAAAGATATTAAGGAATTTAAGCTTTAAAAGAAAGTACAACAGAAATTGGCATAGTAAAAGTGAACCAGAAAGAAGATGACTTTAGGCCTAGGTTAGATGTTCTGATGAGAGAACAGCACCTGTGTGATAACGCCCAACTCAGAAAGCTAGAGGCTGATAAGATTTTTGAACGGTGGGTGCTTTAGCAGGTCCAGTATTGTCGATTTCCTATTTCTCATCATAGGACAATAGCTAGAATCGTAAGAAAAACAAATGCCTTACCAGAAAGCAAAGTGAAAGTGTGATAAAGTAGGAAGAGAGATCTAGTAAGCTGTTCTAACTCGTGTGTTCAGTTTGCTGGATGGGAAATGCACCTCAAATTAGACCTTCCTTTGGGACTGGCAACATTACAAATTTCTGAACTTTGCAAAAATTTGGAATGTCGTGAATGTTGCTCTACGAACGTATGGTTTTTCAAAATGTGTCATAACTAATGTCTTTAGAGAAAATTATTCCTAATTAAATTTAAAATCACAGATCGTCAACTGTAAATACCTGATATCCTAGAAAAGTTAAAAATAAAAATTTTCTCCAGGTCTGCCACTTCTCACAGAGACTAAGGAATCTCTGATATTAACTTTGGGACAGTGAATATAGATGTCAGTTAAGTATTTAATCCTGGAAATATTACTTTTTTGGCCAAAGGCTAAAATAAAAAATTAAATAAACTGGTAGGAAAGCATAGTCATTACAACTATGCATGCACAACCTATAGAGTTCAACTTTTTGAAAAAAGTTGTTCCATTTTATGATTTTGTTTACCTTTCTAATAAAATGTACTTGAATTTTTTCCATCCTGAAAGAAGATTAATACACATGAAAATTTAACACAGAAAATAGTATTCATTGAAACCCACTTAAGGGGGGCAGGGTATCTTTAGAAACAAAGAAAAATGGACTTGTTTAAATAAAAATTTAATACTTTATAAAATTTAAGAACATGGCCAGTGTTTAATAATAATTAATAATAAAAATGTAATATAAATGCATTTTGATACTACATAACTCAAAAATAATTTATCTTGTTTATCTTATAAAACTCATTGCATGAAGACACTTCACACCTTGGTAACCCAGAAGCCACAGTGTAGTGTCATGCAAGTCCTGAATAAGTGTTAGCTCTATATATACATCTCACAAACCCTGGCTACATGTTTATGCTCAAATGGTTCCTGCTATGGGATTGACAATAGTAAAAAAAATACTGTCCTTCCATTCATTAACTCTGTTGGATCCACTTTAACCCAAATACTATTATTAATAGGAAATAATTATACTAAGAAATTTTAGCTTTCATTATATTAAAGAATGCTCTTAATGTTCTTCTTATATTCAAGACAAGTATTCTATTTAATACATTTTAAAATCATATTTTGCCAAAACATATTGCAAAATAAAATGTAAAAGTCACACATAGTAAGATTTTCAAACTCAATCTGGAACTAAAATCAGCTTCTGACTGTGAGAGTACTTAGTATTTGAAAAATAATCCCCTAACATTAATATCAAATCAATCCAACAGTATGTAAAGTTAATAATAGCTAAACTTTAACTCTAAATATTTTATTTTAAAAATCATTGCATAATTGTGATGTTAACTTTAGTAGCTGTCAAAAAGGACATTTAACTTGGTCTCATAAACAACCAGTGAACGAGGTGATGCATGCCTCAATGCCAGCCTTGTTTGCAATGTGAAAGTTGGCCAGATGGCCACTGTATGTAAATATTTCATTCAGGGAAAAATAAAAATTAACTTTTAAGAGAAATAAACCAAGTTCCTTAGCTAGGCTGGGTTTTGACTCTTCTTATTTTTTTAGATTTAAAGTAATTTTAAGTGAATAAAATTTAAAATCATTTAGACTTGACAGAACTTTTAAATAATCTATCAAAGGAGAAGACTGAATTTTTCCCCACAATAAATAGCCATAAAATTGAATATCAGAATCCTTGATAGGAATAAATAAAATTAAGAGATTTCAAGCATATTGTGATAATATTTAAATATACATTTTGAGGGATAATTAACTAAAGGAAAAAATATTTACTAGTATGGAATGTTACTGCACATTTAATTGTATTTTTAAAATAATGCTCTCAATGTTACTTCCATTTTCTGCACAGTATTTCTACTGAATTCGGATGAATACCTAATTTTTGTGAGTAGCAAATTAATGAAACAATTTGGCTAATGAGTTGTTCTGCAACTTGTAAATACACATTTCCCCCTTCTTAATAAACATGTGCAAAGCAAGTGAGATGGCAAAAAGTGAAGTAAATTGATTCGTCTGGATGCTGTAACCACCAGAGCAGCTCTGTGACAATGACGACGACTAGAGCCATGAACAGCTGAGAGGGGAGGAAGAGGGGTAACCAGCCAATAGGTTCTGGAATAAAGAGAAATTCTTTGGCTTTTAAAAACATGTTCTAAAGGTGCTATTCCATCACTGAAAATGTTACTATATATTTAAAAAATGTTATTTATGGATCCCCTGGTTTTCCAATAGCTGCTGAGACTCAAAGTTTGCCAATTTTGCAAGTTATTTAAATGTTCCATATTATATGTGAATGAAAAGATGCACTATCAGTTTCCTGACAGATGCAAAACAATCTGCTGTGAGTCTAAAATAAGCTTGTTTTTAGTCGCTCCGAGGAATTTCTCCTTTTAAATACTCCATTTTAAGAGGAGATACTTTGACTGTCATGAGAAGAAACACAAAGATGAATGGTATACTCTCATTTTATATACCGGTTCAGTACTGAATTTCACATCAAATAAAATATGACATTATTTGTAAGGCTGCATTTAAATATTTTAATATACTGTGTTTTGAAATAACACAAGTATATTTAAAGAAATTTTATTTCTACTACTTGTGAAATATGTCCAATATTCCTTTCAAAATGTAGCCTATTAGAACCAGGAAACTGGAGCACTGAATAGTTTTAGGAAAGGCCAGGGTAATACCTGCCTCACTCTGTTGTTTTCTTTCCAACTACTATTTTTTTAAATTCCCCACAAGCAATGACAAAGTGTAGGTTCAAGTTAGAAAAGGAAGAAATAATCTCCAAACCTACTTTTTCTTCAGTCTTCTATCCTTCTCAGCTTGAGTTCCAAGTTTGCCTAACCCCAGGGACTCCTGAGCTGCAGCTTCAGTCTCCATAAAGCCTCCTGTGAAGAAGGAACTATTCACATTAGGGTGAACACATGGTGTCAATTCTGAAATTCAATTATTTTTTTAAAAAAATATATCTTTATTGATCTCAGAGAAAGGAAGGGAGAGGGAGAGAGAGAGAGAAACATCAATGATGAGAGTCATTGATCCACTGCCTCCTGCACGCCCCCGACTGGGGATTGAGCCTGAAACATGGGCATGTGCCCTGATGGGGAATCGAACCTTGATCTCTTGGACCCTAGGTTGATGCCCAACCGCTGAGCCATGTCGGATTGGGCTGAAATTAAATTTCTAAAAATTTCCTTAAGCAACTGTTTAGAATCACATTTTTTCTCTTTTTTTTGATTGTCTTTATATTTCCAAACCAACATGCATAAAATGGCCTGGGTACACACGTAAACATACAATGAGTGAATAAAAAAAGTACCTAGCGTTAGATTAGTCAGTGGCACCTCATAGCAACATAATACATGTGGCCTGCACACTGGCAAACACATGAATATATAGTTTGAAAGTCCAATGATCTCTTCTACTTTTTTTAAAAATGAAAAATAGGAGCAACTATCTGTGGAGTATTAAGTTTTTCAACATTTAAAATGCTTTTTAATATTTTATATATAATGAGGTAGTTGATGGTCCAATGAGTAGAAACTCAGGTGTATGTCTTCAATTCCAAGTCAAGGGAATAGAGAGGCGATCCCTGACTTCTAAAAACTTTTCATATGCAGCTTCTGGAAGCCTCTTTGCTCACCTTCATGGCCCCTATATCCAGTATAAACCTTACGTCTAGAATTTCATAGGTTTTATTTTGTTAATTTTATAATACCTGGAAAAAATCCTAAGTCTTTTTTCAAAAAGACCCTTGTGAGAATTGTTTTTATTCAGTAGATAAATTATTTGGGTTAAAAGCAATTTTATTGGCTTTGGAATATACATAATATATGTAACCTTGGAATGAAAGGAGAAAGAAAGTATGGCAAGCATCAAACAGGATTAAACATTTCCCAGTGCAATTATTTAATTCAGAATCCCTGAACATATAATTAATTAACACAAAATTTGTTTTAATTGAAAAATGAGAACTTAATCTCGGGCTCTGTTTTCTCTTTGGTAGTTATTCTATGTGAAAAACATGGAAAATACTATTTTAAGTGGGTTAATATACATATAAAATTTAATGGAAGGGATTTAGACTCCAATTAAGCTCAAGTTTAGGTACAAAGATGTAAGTTAATATTAACTCTTACAAAGACTACGCAAAATTTTTTACCAATATGTCTGTAAATAAGAACTATTAAAGACAACTTTTATCTCTGTCATTGTAATGGACATTTCCTTACTTAACATTTGCAGGACTTGACCTTACACAAATTTTGTTGTTACTGTTTTTCATAATTTATTTTAGCAAGTAATTTATAACACTTAGTACTATTAATTTTGTAGCATTGATACAACAAGTTACTCTCATAGCCTAGTAACTCTATTACTGAATTCTGTAATTATAAGGAAGTTCTATTTGATTAAAAACACATTGATTGCTCTCTAGATCTTATGCAGGGCTTCATAGTCTGGGGACCAAAATTTATTTTATTCAATTATGCACATGTGAAATTAATACTTAAATACTTTTTTATTATGAAAGACTCTCATGGTTGGTGTCATTAGGACAGCCGTCCAATAGTTAACTAAGGCACTCTTGGGGATAATTTTTAAATGTGGGATTTTCCATTATGCACAGAGAGTGAACATTTTCATTTTATTTCTCTCATTGGTATACTTGCCTTACTGTACATCCATAAGTTATTACTCACAATCTGCAATTAACAATAAAATTGTACTCTTTAAATGTAAATGGGAATGGTTCATTCACTTTAAAATTACAAAATTTTTCAGCAGTACAGATGGGGACATAGAGATTGATGAGGTAGATCTGTTTGAAACAGTGAGACATTTTCGGCCGCCAGGTGGTTGGATCAATTAGGCTTATTCTTCAGAACAAAGAATAACAACTAACTTCTGGTGTAAATTTCTTCAAGAACCCAAGATTTCAATTATAGAAAAAGAACATTTTAAAAAATGAAACTGGAAAAGAAACAAAGAAAGCTCTAGAAGGATTTTTGTGAGTCAAAACTAGATCTAGAAAAAATAAGTTTTAAAATTTGCTCCTCAGAAATAAAATTATAAAAATAAAAAGCATGGAGAGCTTGGAAATACTCTCAGTACTTCAAAACCTAATATCCTTTGAATAAAGGATTTAATAGAGACTTGTGGACACATTGGGTTTGAATATGCCTATAGATAATGACATTTTACTATAGTAGGTAAAATTATTTTTATTCATCACATGCAGAAACATACCCTTAAGCAGAATCAAAAGTCTAATTACATGCTTTTTCCAGCCCAATTAAACTGTTTCTAGATGAGAACATTCTTGATCCAGCTGCCCTATAAACAGCAGGTTCATCTTTCCACATACCTGACCAGCTAGCTAACTCCTAAAGGTGAGTCTGCCTCATTTCCTCTCAGGCATCAGCAGGCTCCTATGGCTGTGTGGATTTTAAGAATATTTACTCGTCTATGCCAATATTTTATTCACTAGTCACGTGTGGCTACTGAGCACTTGAAATGTGGCTAGTCCGAATTAAATACTGTATTATAAAATATGCACAAGATTTGGAAGTTTAGTGAAAAAATATATATACAATGTCTATTTAATAAATTTATATTGATTACATGTTGAAATTATAGTTTTCATATATTGGTTTAAATAAAATTATTACTAAAATTCATCTTACCTGTCTCTTTTCACTTTCCTTAATGTGGCTACTAGAAAATTAGAAAGTGTGTATGTGGCTCACCTTGTGGCTTACATTATATTTCTGTTGACAGGGCTGTATACTAGTGACTCTTAAACTGGAGATAGTATCAATCCTCCAGAGAGAGAGTGTAAATATTTACTTATGCTGGTGGAAAGAGGGGACTACACGTTTAGATGTTACCATGATTGCAAAGTGCAACTGACATATATTAAGTAGGGGACAAGAATTCTAAACATCCTCAAAGAGTAGAGAATCCTTGACCTTGACCTTGTGAAAATGACAAGAGTGCGCCTGGTGAGAAACCCTGGCTTATGGGTGACTCTCTAGAAGATCCATTAGGAATGTGGAGATAACAGCATTCACTCCCAACTCATAGCAAAAGGTACTTAGGCGGAGAAGGCTTGAGTCTCATGATTTGGTGGATACTCGGATAAGAAATTGCATGTGACCTTGTCCGTGGCCTCCTAGTAGTTGCACATATAAAAGCTTAAGCCAAAATCCTTGCCCTCAAAGTTCTCTGGACTGTTTAGTCACCCAGGTATACTTTTGTAAGGACTTTGGGAGTTGGGAGTGTTAGAGAAAGGACCACTCATAGAGTGTGAAGGGCCCAATTAAGCAATTTTTTCCAGCCAACTTTTTATATAAACATTTTGAGTAACCCAAATCAATGTGGCCACAATCTAGTGGTTCGCTGTCATACAATATCATTCTGGACAGCAGAATTCTGGGAATGATTCACTTGCTAGAGTACCCTCCTGGAACCAGGACCAGGTCATTGGTCCAGAACAACCCAAGTCGCCGGGCTCAGCAGGACATCTTGTCAACCCCAGGCATGGGGTAGATAAGCAGGGAGCACCCTGATGGCGGGAAACAGGGACCCGGGACCACATGGTTTAGTTAGATTTGAGGACACTGCCTCCCTGGCTGGTCCCAGGGTCTGAAACATAACAGAAAATTTCAATGTTTCCAGCAGTTGGACCCATACAGGTCTTGGTCTTAGATCAGGATGCCCTGCCCAGATAGCAATTCCAGTTCCAGCCTCTCCCACGCACCAGAGGGGAGCTCTTAGAGAATTTCAACAAAGGTGCTGCAAAGTGCGAGGCTTCCTAAGACCCAGGCTGAGGAATTCAAGGAAAAGCCCTTTTATGCCCAGATCTAGGGGTAGTACCGGTTGGAGATATTGTGAAGGCAAATGTTTCTGTGTTGCCTGGGCCTTAGACTCAAGTCAAAATAATTTATTTCATGTTGTCCCTTGAGCTACAAGTCTGGAGAAATTTCTGTCCCAAATCTAGGTCTCTACCTCTCCCTTGTTTTCAGCAGAAATATAAAAAAGGGGGAGCTCTAACTCCAGACAGAATTAGACTATAAACTGCAGCTAATCAGTAGCTTCATCATTCTTTTACTGGACCTCTCCTCAGTATTATTTCATACCACTTATTTTGTATTTACATTTGAATTGATAAATGGTTACTTAATTGTTTCCATTTCTGTTAGCTCTCTAGAGGAGCACCTAGGCAGTGCCAAACTCATAAAGAGTGTGTAAAAAATGCGCTAATAATTGAAGCTAAATACTGCTTTCTTAAAAGAAAGGCCCTTTCACCATGCAGAGAATGAGTCATCTCTAATTGTTACTCTGTGGAATTTATATCATATCTGTTGGCTCCATAGCATCTAGGAACAATCTAAATTTTTAGGAAAAGGCGAGCACAGCCACCCAAATGTTATATGTGGAAAGGTGCTTGCTAAATAATGTTAGTTCAAGGTTGATTCTGCTTTTGTCATGATGAAATTATTTTCTTTATTATGCTGATTACAGAAGGCCAATGAGTTCAGGCAATTATAATACAATCTGGCAGTGACCATAAACAAAAGGGATATGCAATTTAGTAGGCAAAGTATCTCTTTGAAATATATTGCTTCTCATATGCATTTAAAGGAAATCTGTAAAGTAGTTTTGTTGCTTTTTAAATCAATAATATATCCATTTTATATGTCTTTAATTGGGGATTCTGCTTATTAAAAATTAATATATTTTCCTCTTTTATTTTCAAATTATAAGAGAAACTTCATTTAGAAAGTTGCAGAGTTCTGTTCCTTTTTTCTTTATAGTCATTATTGTTGGGCTCTCTGAAGACTTGGGAGAGCTGGTGTTTCCCAGGTAGTAAACCAATGAACGT